AATATTGGAGAGACATATAAGATGTCCTCATCACCAACCCCCCCAGGGGGAAGGGACGAATGGAGCAGGGCCATTGAGAGCGGTTTTGCATAGCAACAGTTTTGCAGCTAACCTCTGGAATGGTCATTTAACATATCTATAACCCTTAACTGGTTTCATAGATATGTTAAATAGCTGTGGCCAAGTTTGGAGCCAGGGAGAAGGGAGGGGTTCTCCTAGGATGTAACTAGGGTGTGTCCTAGTTACAGGGGCTCCTAGGATGCGCCCCTGAGGGAGAATGCCTGTGTGAGAGCTTAGAAAAAGATTGGCTCTGGGACATGAGCATGAGGGGATAACTGCCCAGGTGAAAGGGAAAACCACGCAGTTTTGCCAGAATGGAGATCCCTGCAGCCAGGTGAAGAAGAAAGCCACATGCTTTTGGTGGAGTGTGGACCCCTGCAACTTTGGTAGAAGAGGCCCACGTGGCGTGGAAAGCAGGAGAGACTTTGACTGGAACTGGGTATAAAGGACTCTTGCCAGTGGACTGTGAGAGGGTACCACAGTACTTTGGATTGACTCGAGATCCTGCACAGTGACACAGCTGACGATACCAGTGGCCTCAAACACAGACGTGTGCTCTTTTCCTGATTTACGGTACCCGGAGTTGGGACAGTGGGAGAAGGGAGTGCTGTGTGGGTGTAGGTGTATACCCTAAAGGACTTTGATATTTTAGTGGAGGTGTTAGGCCTGAATAGCATTAAATAAACATTTTGTTTCCTTTTCACAAATCTCTGGCATTGAGAGATGTCTTTCCAATTGGCGGTGGACAGAAGAGCCCAGTAGATATTAATATTCCATCCTTGGGAAGGATCCCTGTTCTGTAGCAGTTTTTGGCATCCCTAGGAGGGCCAAATATTGGCCCCCCCCGCCGGACCTCTTGTTCGGTAACATGTATACAAGCAAATAGTCTCTTAGTGAACCCCATTGTTAACGTGGAGTATATTGTTTTATGCATGTTCTATACTTCGCTTTCTCTATTTTAATCTGTCTTAGACATTATTCCATGGTGGTACATAAAGAGCTTCCTCACCTTTGTGATTCCTGATCCCATGAATATGTTATTTATCAAACTACTGATTAATGCTAAATGTTTTAATCCCTTGGGAATTATTGGCAGTACTTCATATGTTCAGTTTACATTTGTGCTATTTGTAATTCTGATGGATAATACTAAGTCATACTCAACAAAGAATATATCGATTTACTGTCTGACCATGAATGTACAAGTCTGTACAGTCCCCATTCTAACATAATAGCACATTATCTACCTGTGCATGCTCATATATGTATCTATCAACCAATCATATTATATCTAAAACTAGATATATTATCATTAGGTTATATAATTATTAGATATGTACATAAATATTAAGTTGTTTTATCTTTGCTAATCTAAAACTTAATTATATCTTGTTGCAATTTTTGTTTTTACTGAGGCTTATTTTACATATAAACAAGAGTCGATCTTTGTGAATTATTATATACGTATACATTGCGTAACCACGACCCAAATTAAGCCATAAAAGATAACCACTATCCTAGAATCTTTTTTGTTTATCCAAGTAATATCCAACCTACCCAGAATAAATATGATTATGACTTCTACATCACTAGTTTTGCTTATTTTTTAAATATAAATATAAATCATTGACTATAAATATAGTCACATAATATCAACATTTTTGTTTCTGCCTTATGCAATACAATGTTTTGGCAAATGTTGGTAATTTATTCTCTTATGTTGTGTGTAGAATTCCATTGGTTGAATATATGTCTGTTTTTTTAATTTTGCTTTTGAAGATTCAGAATGAATTTCCATTTCCTTCCCATTCAAGGTGTATTCTTTTCATATTTTAAGAAGATCATTTGCATTTTTAAATTAACTTTCCATGGGTAGTCTTTGTTCATTTTTCTATTAAGGGCTGCTTTATATGCATACTAAAACTTGACATGTGTAGGGACCCCCCAAAAGGAATTTATTTATAAAAAATTCTGTATTTATTTCTACATGTTTAAAGTTTAGTCACCTTCAAAATACTCTCTATTTGATGCACTACACCTATCAAGACATTTTCCACTATTCAAGACAGTTTTTATTTACATTTTTATTCCTGTTTATTCTATTACAGTTGTCCCAACTTTCCCCCCCTTTTTCCTCCTCCATCCAGCCCACCTACCCCCAGTCTCCATAGTTCTCCTTGATTTTGATGCTTCTTAGTGCTTCTACAGTTTTTGTTTTACATCTTTCACATTGACAAAATGTTTGCCTTTGAAGACTTTGTTCAGCAGGGCTGAGGTGGTGGGGAGTCACTCAGGGTAAGATTGGGTGAATAGGGAGGGTGGGGCGCATGAGTCATTCTGTCTTTGTGTACTGGGGTACAACCAGAGCCACAATTCAAGAGGGATTTGAAATGGGGTCTAGAATTTGGGGTGTCCAGGCATTATAAAACATAGGATGTCCTCACCCCCACAAGTCTGAACTGGAGGATGGAACACATGGAGCAGGGCCATTGAGAGTTACCTTGCATATCAACAGTTTTGCAAATAACCACAAAAACGGTTATTTAACATATCTATAAACTTTTGGTCAGTTTAATAGATATGTTAAGTAGCTGTGGTCCTGCTTTGAGCCAGGAGGATGGGAGTGACTTTGACCCAGAACATAAGTAGGAGGCAGCTCCCCCTGGTTACAGCTCCTGTGTGAGAGCTTGGAGATGGTTGGCTTCATGCCACGGACCATGGCACCTGGACTTACTATGGCAGTCCAGAAAGGCTGGAAAAAAATAAGAGAATGATGTCAGGTGCAGCCAATTGTGTGAGGAGTTGGATATGGGGATGCGGAAGAAGATTCACACTGGGATTTAAACCCAGGTGCAGCAGCCATGTGAGTTGGAACCATGTGGTTTGGGAGAACCATGTGGTTTTGGTGGAACCACACGGTTTTGGGGCTCCTTTTGCCACATGGCTTAGGAAGCAGGAAGGACAATGCAGGATGAAGGATGGGAACAATGTTAGACCTTGCAGTGAAGGAAAGGGGTGAAAGGACTCTTTCTGGTGGGCCATGAGAAGGTGCCACGTGGGTTTGGATTAAGAACTGGAGGTCGCGGCGACAACACAGCTGATGGTGCTGGGAACCGCAGGAGGCCTGCCAGCCAAGCACAGATTACTGGGAAGAACGGATGCTAGCTGAGCCACAGACTTCTATTTTTTTTCCCTGAGATATGGTATCCCTGACTGAGCAAAGCGGGGAAGGAAGGGCTGTGTGTGTTTGTGGGTGTTTTAAGGGACTTTGGGATTCTAATGAAGACATTAAGTCATTAACTCTAAGTTTGTATAACTTTTGAATAAATAGTTCCTTTCCTTTTCATCAGTCTCTGACATTGAGAGCCATAATTCCCTGGTGGTGGGCCAGGCGAACCTAGTACAGGGGGACCCTGGGAGAAGGGAGTCCATTTGGTAATAGTATTTTGTCACCCCCTCCATGGGTCCATTCTGTCTCACTTGGTCAAAAACTGCTGAACACTCAGTGTGGTGTGGGCAGGTGCACTCCCAAATCACCAACATGAAATGGGAAAACACATTGAAAGAATCTTCAAAAAATTTCACTGAAGCTGAATGCAGCCTCTCACAACATTTCCGGCTGGTACACTAATACAGATGGGTTCCTAGAATATTTACCTAGAGAGGGGGGAGCCTGTACTTCAAGGAGCCCACCCTCCAGAAGATAATTCCGTTTGGGGATATACAGACACACACACATGATCAGACATTGTTTATGTCATAACTAAGTTTTCCTGTTTGCTATTTATCTTCTAGCATTTCATGTAGTATCCAAATATATTATCTTATATGATTCATCAAATTTTAACATTCTTAGAGTGACTGTTCATATTACAAGGTTATAAAAACAATCAAGCTCTCTTCAATAGTTTTATGTTTTAACTTTCTACATTTAAATATTTAATCAACACAAACTGTATTCTAGTGAAAAGTATAAATTATGAATTCAACTTCATTCCCTGGACAGTTCTCTTTCAGATCCTGCCTTTCAAATCCTGCCATGAAAGAAAGGCATCTGGAAGGTTTTCTTCATGTTGGCTGCTCAGCACTTACCAGCAAAATTGTGCCTTTACATGAGATTCAGGCAGGAAAAAAGGGGCCTCTTTTCCTCAAATGGATTTCAAAACTGCAGTTGTGTAATAAGTGCAAGACAATCCCTCCTGAGTATTTGTTTTTACAAACTCAATGAAAGCTAACCTGTAAATGCAAAAGCTTTCAGTAACACACCTTTTTTCCCCCTGCAAAATATTCTCTCCTAATTCCCAAACCACCTCCCTTACAGACAGTGAGGCTTTAAAGGGGCAAGTACATCCACCCCTGGAAATAAACAGTAGCACCTTATCATGTATTATAACACTAAGCTCATGGGTTTTCATTATAATAAACATCTTCTCAGTTACTTGAAAACCAACCAAATAAATAAAAGCTTCTTAGTGGTAGGAAAAATGTTTTCTATAATCCATAAATTCCCCACAGAAACCATGGAAGTAAAGGAAAAGAGATGTAAGTCTAAAACTGTAGCAATATTATCTGATGTGGTTTATCTGGTATAAAATAGAATAAAAATGACATGTTAACATTTAACTGCAGTATTACTCAATTTTCCAAAATTGTCTATGTCATATGTAATTAAGATGCACTCTTCTTAAGGTATCATGCCACCTAAAATCATTCTGAGGGCATATTGGACATTGGCCTGTTGCCTTCATTTGAAAGAATGCACAGTATTCAGAGAAAAAATTAACTCTCAAATTTAAATAGTGCAACTAGTTTGAGAGCTGGAAGAATTATTTGACAAGGTTTGTAAAATATTATTTCAAGGTTCTCAAACTAGGTTAATGTTTTTCTCACCATATAAATTTTCTGCAGTTCCAAATAGAGTGAAGGGTTTCTACAATTGAGAGGTGCGTTCGTGCCTGCCTTTCTTTGAGAAAGGGCTTTGAGAAAGCCCAATTTATAGTAAATACGAAATTGCTCAAATGCATTAGAAATAATTACTTTTAAAGAAGGCTTACTTTAAAGTTCATCTCAAAAGCAAAATTCTTTAGTTTACATCTTCAGGTAAAATTGTTTTGCTTTTGGGCAAAGTCTTTCATACAACTTATGAAGCAAGAGGCAAGTCAAGTACAATCTTCAGAAAAAATTGTCAGGTGAGTTTCTGAGTGTGAACATCTATAAAACTTCTATAAAACCATAAACAGTATTATAAGCGACAGAGCTTCACCTTTGTTGAGTAAATGCCTATTTTAATTGATAATATCTAATTATGACTTGTGAGGAAATCAATGAAAAAAGACATACTAAAAAGTTATACAGTGTAAGGATAGATGAGTTGTGAAAGTAGTATGACTGAATGTTAATTAGAATTTCAACATAAAGAGCATGCAATTGATCTAGATTTTGTGCCTAGAATGTTGTACTATAGCATATTCTGTGATTCAATACAGTATAAATGAATTTGTTTTATTATGACTGTGTATATTTTGGAAATGAATAGTAATAAAGGCTTGTTTGATTTTGAAAATATTGAATTTGATTAAGTAGCAAGATTTGTGCCTATTAAATTTAATTGTCTGGAACTATAAAATTCAATTTAATTCAACAGACATTTATTAAAAAATTAATATATTTCAGGCACTGTGTAGATACTTTAAACTTAAAAAAACCTTCATTATAAAAGTAATATACTAATTTTGTATTTACAGAGAGTGAACTCTTGTTTGAATGTCCCTCCCCTACATGCAACCTGAAAAATGACAGAAAATATGTGAAAATTAACTTTAATGACATGCATGCAAATGCTTGAACAAGAGAAGAGAGATTCACAGCCAACTAAAGCTATACAGCATACTGGACAAGTGACATTGCAGGGGTGAACCCCACACTTGTCATAGGCGAGACCACCTATGTGGCAGTCCCATATGGGAACCCCAAGATCTACCCTTTCCAGGAGGTCACCCCACTGTAGTCACAGAGGAAATAGCTGCAGCTGCCAAAAGACAGGCTGGTGTGGTGTCACAGGAACTGTGGGGAAAACCATCTGATGAAAGCCGGTGTTATGATGGAGGCACAACAATACAGATACCTGATATTGGAAGAAATTAGACTGACTAGAAAAATCACAAAATAACTTTGAAATGAGTATCTGAAACAATAAATATACTCACTATCGAACTCAAAACAGGATGTTATAAAACAAAAAGGAAACAGTAGAAGAAAACACATTAGAAGCATAATGAACACTTAATTATTGATATGAAAAAAATAAATGGGTGGGGAATAAATTATACACATTTTAGAAATAAATTAGTGAACCAGACAGATACCATATGATGTCACGTATAAGTTCAACCTAATCAACAAAACAAACAAGCAAGCAAAATAGAACCAGAGACATGGAAATAAAGAATAAACTGAAGGTGACCAGAGGGGAGTGGGGAGTAACAGGAAAGAGAGGGAAGGGTCAAGTCAAGGAACTTGTATAAAGGACCCATGGACATGGACATGGACAAAGTGGGGGGCAGAGGACTCAAAGTGGAGGGTGGTGGGTGGGTGGGCAGGGGAGAGTATTGGGGGAAATGGGACAACCGTAAGTGAATGACAATAAAAAAATTAAAAATAAAATTAAATAAAAAAATAAATTCTTGAACCAAAAGGTCAAATCTAGAAATTCTTTTAGAACCAAGCAAGAAATACCAAAACACAAAGCAAATGATGAGCAGGATAGAAATGATAATAAAAAAGAGTAGAAAATTAAAGGTTGTTTGAAAAAAAAAACAATTTTAGATTTAATCACCAAGTGAGAGAAAAGATATCAGAATTTACAAAGAAAAACAACAGTAATTAAGTGCCAGTGGAAAAAAGAACTGATTTATGAAAGTGGTGTTGGTAAATTAAAATAACAAAATTGAAAACCTAGATAAAATGATAATATAGGCAAATTTCTAGAAAATTAATACCAAAATGATTAAAAACAAATTTGAAATATCATTTGAACATATCATTTGAAATATGTTTGAAACAAACATAAATACATATGTAAAACTACCAAAGTTCAGATATTTTTATGAGATTTTCAAGGAAAAGATAATCATCTTAATCAAATTGTTTTAGAGCAAAGGACCAGAGGGGTGACTAACCAACTGATTTTGCAGTTATTGAAGGCACAGTACTAGCACCTAAAATAGACAAAGACCATAAAACAAAATATAATTTTTTTATAAACAGAAGCAAAGTGAATCAACAGATTTAAGATGCATAGAAGAAACAAATATTCAACAAGATTACTATATACATGACCAAGTTAAAAATTCGGTTATTTTCATACAACCAATTAAAACTTAGAGAAATGATGCATGTCATCACAGCAGCAAAACTAATGTACTTTACATTTACAAAAAGTAAATTACAAATTTTATAAAAAGTGATATAAGAATTTTATGGAGCTAATCCAAGAATGCCTTTAGAAAGATAAAAGGAATCTTAAAATTTAGAATTATGCTATTAGGGGATAAAAGTGTCTATGCTGTATAGATAGCAAGTCTTTAACATTATGCTATAAATGCAAATGAATGCACTTCAAATCCCATCAATCAGGGTCCCATGGAACCTCACAACCTAGTTATAACATTAATTAAAATAATATGTAAAGAATAATCAAGACAATTTTTTTAAATGCACACAAATTTGGATTGGCATAAAATCATTTATGGTAAAAATTAAGAGCTGAATATGTAGTAATTATCACGAGTGTTAGAGAAGAGTAGAAGAATGAAACTTTCTGAGGATTCCTATTATTATAATTATGGAGTATATTTTATCCACACTAATAAATAACCATATGAGGACATATTTGCAATCTGTATATACATTTATATCTATTACTCACTCTTTGACATTGCGTTGTTTCACTCCCACAAAACTAAACTTCCAGAATCTCTTGGTTGTACCCATAATTCAATGTTGTTTTTTTTTCTTTTTTAATCAACAACTTCTTTTTTATTGTTGCTTAAGTACAGCTGATTCCATTTTCCCTTCATCACTGCCCCCTGACCCCAGCCATCCCCACCTCCTATCCTTGATTCTATTCCCCTTTAGTTTGGATGACAGTATAATATGCAACTTCCTGAATGCGAATTTATATAAAATAATATTACTATTTAAAATTTTGTTATTTTTCAGTGTGCAATATTATTCATAACCTTTCCATCTAATGCTAGGATGTGAATGAGTGAAACTCAAATCCTGAGTGAAACTTCAGCAACAAAGGAGATACAATTTTTTTATTGTATATTTTCCATTACCATTTATCTCCCTTATACTCCTCCCCATAAGCACTACACTGTTGTCCGTGTCTGGGAGTCCTTATTCTTTGTTCCTTGACCCCTCTACCCTCTAATCTCCCCCTTGGCTATCATCCTGTTCTCGATCTATAAGTCTGTCTCTATTTTGCTTGTTAGTTCAGTTTCATTAGATTCCAGATATAAATGAAATCATATGGCATTTGTCATTCTCAGACTACTGGCTTATTTCACTTAGCATAATGTTCTCCAGGTCCATTCTGGAGGTAAAGGGTAAAGTTTTCCTCTTTTTTTATGCCTTAGAAGTATTTCATTATGTAAATATCCCATAGTTTTTGTTTTTTTTCCCACTCATCTACTGATGGACACTTGGGCTGCTTCCACATCTTGGCAATTGCATATAATGCTACAATGAATATAGGGTCACTTATGTTCTTTGGAATTAGTGTTTCAGTTATGAAGGAGAAAGATACATTTTCTTTGCAGAAAATTTACTCAATAAATTTACTCAATATTATTAATATTTACTATCCTACTAGCAATTGTGTCTATAATACTATCTATTTAAACTACCTTTTTTTTTTGCTTCTGAGTGTTGAATTACACTGAGAAACTCCCCTATTTAATATTAGGTTCACCCATATGTTTTACATATAATATCTACAAGGATATTAGAAATATGCTCTTATGTTATTAATTCCCAAGAAGCTAGTTAATTCTCCCTAAACAGTTTGAGTAGTGATTATTTTTCCTCTAGTATCAAATACTACCAAATTATTTAGCTAAATAACATTGTAATTTTGAGCCATACCTATATCATCTGCCTAGTTTTCTATACCAGTTCTTTATATGGTGAAATTTAATTTCATATATATAATTTAATACTAGGTAGGGCTACTATATCCTATTTCCTTTCCATACTCATTAACAAATTTTTTAAGAGTATCTTTTGCATTTCCACATGTAAGTGTTATTCTAGAAATACTTTATAATCATTCGTCAAGGTAAAATTACCTTTTGGCTCATTGATTGGAGGTGAAAATAAATTTACTGATTTATTTTCAGTCCCCACCCTGTTGTTCATGTCCATGGGTCATTTATACTTGTTTTTTAATTAGGCCCTTCCCCTTCTTTCCTCTCTTGTTCCCCTCATTGCTCCTCTTTGGTCCCTATAAATTTGTTTCTTGTTTTCATGCCTCTGGTTCTATTTTGCTCATTTGTTGGTTTTATTCATCAGGTTCCTGTTACAAGTGAAATCATATGGTACTTGTCTTTCACCACCTGGCTCATTTAACTTAGCATAATACTCTCCAGTTCCATCCATGTTGTCACAAAAGGTAGGAATTCCTTCTTTCTCTCTGCTGCGTAGCATTCTATTGTGTAAATGTACTAGTTTTGTGATCCACTCATTTACCGTTGGGTACTTAGGCTGTTTCCAGCACTTGGCTATTTTGAATAACACTGATATGAACATAGGGGTACACGGGTTCTTTTGAATTGGTGTTTCAGGATTCTTAGGATGTATTCCCAACAGTGGAATTGCCAAATCAAAAAGACAGTTTTTGCTTTTGAGTTGTTTGAGTAAATTCCATACTATTTTCTACAGTGGCTACACCATCTATATTCCTATCAACAGTGCACCAGAATTCCCTTTGCTCTGCATCCTGGCCAGCATTATTGTTTGTTGATTTGTTAATGATGGCCATTCTGAACAATGTGAGGTGGTATCTCATTGTGGTTTTAATTTTCATCTCCCTAATGGCTAGTGATGCAGAGCATCCTTTTGCATATCCCTGGGCCCTCTGTATGTCCTCCTTTGAGAAGTACCTGTTCAGGTCCTTTGCCCATTTATCGAATTGTTTGTCTCTGGTGTTGAGTTATATGAGTTCTTTATATATTTTGGAGATTAAACCCTTGTCTGTGTTACTGCTGGCAAGTATGTTTTTCAATATGGTTGGCTCCCTTTTTATTTTGCTGATGTTTTCTTTAGGCATGTAGAAGCTTTTTAATTTGATGTACTCGCATCTGTTTATTCTTTCTTTTATTCCCTTGCCCTATATGTTGTATCAGCAAAAATATTTCTGTGTGGGATGTCTGGAATTTTATTGCCTAAGTTTTCCTATAAGACTTTTATGGGTTTAGGGCTTATGTTTAAACATTTTATCCATTTCGAATTTATTCTGGTGTATAGTGTAAGTTGGTGGTCTAGTTTAATTTTTTTGCATATACCATTCCAGATCTCCCAGCACCATTTTGGGAAAATAGTGGAATACAAAATCAATATTCAGAAATTGAAAGAATTTTTCTACAACAACAATGAAATATCAAAAAAGGACACTAGGGGAAAAATCTCATTTACTATAGCAATAAGAAAAATAACATAACTAGGAGTAAACTTAACCAAGGATGCACAAGACCTGTACCTGGAAAGCTACAGAACAATGAAGAAAGAAATCAAGGAAGACACAAACAAATGGGAGTATATACCATGTTCATGGATTGGAAGAATAAACACCATCAAAATATCCATACTACCCAAAGCAATCTATAGATTTGACATAATCCCTATTAAAATACCAAAGACATATTTCACAGATTTATATCAAATATTTCAAAAATTTATATAGAACCAAAAAAAACCTCCAAATAGCTGCAGCAATATAGAGAAAGAAGGACAGAGTAGGAGGGATCATAATACCTGATATCAAACTGTACTACAAGGCCACTGTAATCACAACAGCCTGGTACTGGCATAAGAACAGAAACACAGACCAATGGAACAGAAAAGAGAGCCCAGAAATAAAACCATGTCTTTAGGGTCAATTACTATTTGACAAAGTAGGCATGAAAATACAATGTACTAAAAACAGCCTCCTCAACAAATGGTCCTGGGAAATCCTTATGTGTCTTTAATGTACTTAAGTAGAGTTTTAATTTTTTCATAACATGGAAATTTTCATAACATGGGTTTTGAAATTTTTGTTTGATTTATACTGAGTCCATATTTTTAACAATGTAAATAACATTTATCATATATTCCAAATTAGTCACACTTTTAGAAAATAAAACTATGGACTTAAGTATAGCAGTTAATCTAACCAGTTAAACTTAACTATCACTTTGTTTCTAATGGACATTTTAATTGATGCTCTTGAATTTGATATTTATAAAATCAAATCTATTGAAAATGAAAATGGTTTTAGATATTACTTGCAAATTCTTATGCCTTATTTAATTCTGGTTGCTAGTATATTTTTGAGGATTTTTAATCTATATTCATGTCACATACTCATTAACAGATTTTTTAAGAGTATCTTTTGCATTTCCACATGTAAGTGTTATTCTAGAAATACTTTATAATCATTTTGTCAAGGTAAAATTACCTTTTGGCTCATTGATTGGAGGTGAAAATAAATTTACTGATTTATTTTCAGTCCCCACCCTGTTGTTCATGTCCATGGGTCATTTAACTTGTTTAGTGTAAGTTGGTGGTCTATACTTATTGTGGTGTCTGTCTTATTATATAATCTGAGTACTACTAGCCTCATAGGAGAAGTTGGGCAGTTTTCCCACTCTTCTATCTTCTAGAAAAAAATTGTTTGAAGGAGTGGCATTAATTCTTTCAGTGTTGTTGCACACAGTGCATACAGGACACAGTGAAGCCTAGACTTTGCATGTGTGTGTTTGGTGTGGGAGACAGCTCTGAAACTGCTAACTGAATCTATTTACTACAGGTCCTTTGAGGTTTTCTCCTTAGGTTTCTAGATGTTATATTCCTTCCTCTGTCAATTTTGGTAGATTGTGTTTCCCTAGGAATTTTTCCATTTCATCAAAATTATCAGATTCTTTGGTTTACTATGATCTATACTATATCTTAACACTTCATTTTATTTCTTTAAAGTAGCATATGGTGTTGAGATATATAAATTGAGTTGAGGGCATGACAAGAAGGGCCCTAGAAACATTCAACTGGGATCCTTAACAGTAACCAAGAAAAACCATACTCAGTACTGCTCAGTCCTGTTTGAAGTGAATCAGATTTTTCATAACTCAGGTATCCAAAGGAAAAATAGAGTAGCCTTGTTCTGGAAAGAGATCAGTTAAACAAATTTTCTATAATACTTTACAGTTTTCCATTATTAAATAAACCAATTCCAAGCAATCCAACAAATATTATCAAGAGAAAAGCCAATACTAGCCAATATACAGATACCCATTGTTTGCTGTGTTTTGCTTTGTGTTTTAAAGTAAACATAATTGTGATCTTTAAGAAAATAAATGATGTGCTCACTTCGGCAGCACATATACTAAAATTGGAAAGATACAGAGAAGATTAACATGGCCCCTGCAAAAGGATGACATGCAAATTCATAAAGTGTTCCATATTTTTCACAAACCATTTTGCCTCCTCCTCCAACTGATTACACACACACGATAAAAGGAGTAGGTGGAAGTGGAGAACATCAAGATACCTGCAGGAATCTGCACCACTGAAATTCACAGGTATTATACCACAGAAGTTCACACCATAAACCCAGGGAGTCAGAAAAGATCAATTTTACAAGCTGAGGCTAACAAGAGGAGTCTCACAAACAGTGGGAAGACAAAGAAACAATTCCCAAATGAAAGAAAAAGCAGAAGCCTCAGAAAGAATGTTAGATGAAACAGAGGCAAGTCAACTATCATATATTAAATTCAAAGCACTGATTATTAGGAAGTTCAAAGAGCTCACAATGAGCTACCAGAAACTACAGGGGAGCTACAATGATCTTACCCTAAACCATATCAACATGAAAAAGGAAATAGAAACAATCAGCAAGGGACAAGAGGAAATGAAGAATACAATTTCTGAATTGAAGGACACAGTACAAAGTTTCAAAAGTAGAACATATGAGGCGGCGGATCGGATTAGCGAGTTGGAGGACAAAGTAGAAAACATCTCACAGAAAGAGCCAAAAAACGAAAAGAGGCTCAGAAAGAATGAAGAGGGATTAAGAGAAATGCAAGACAATATGAAACTTAATAATATCTGAATAATAGGAATACCAGAAGGAGAAGAAGAAGAAGAGATGGAAAACATATTTGAAAGAGTAATGAGAGAAAATTTCCCTAACTTGATGAGAGAAAAAGTCACACAAATCCAGGAATCACAGAGAGTCCCAATCAAGAGGAATCCAAGGAGGCCCACTTCAAGACACATCATCATCAAAATGGCAAAATTCGAAGAAAGAGAGAATCTTAAAGGCAGCAAGGGAGAAAAAAGAAGTAACATACAAGGGAGCCCCAATAAGGTTAGCTACTGACTTCTCAATGGAAACATTCCAAGCAAGAAGAGAATGGCAAGAAATATTCCAAGTAATGAGAACCAGAGGCCTACAACCAAGGCTACTTTACCCAGCAAGGCTATCGATCAAGATAGAAGGCCAAATAAAGAGCTTCCAAGACAAAAGAAGTCTAAAAGAATATGCCTCCACCAAACCAGCCCTACAAGAAATACTAAAAGGACTGCTTTAAGGAAAGGAAGGAAAAGAGACAGACAGAGAGGAACACAGGTACAAAAATGGCAATGAATGAGTACCTATCAATAATAACCTTAAAAGTAAATGGATTAAATGCTCCAATCAAAAGACACAGAATAGCTGCATGGATAAGAAAGCATGACCCACACATATACTGCCTACAAGAGACCCAAAAAAGCTGGGGTAGCAATTCTTGTATCAGACAAAATAGACTTCAACAAAAGGGCCATAAAGAGAGATCCAGAAGGTCACTTCATTATACTCAAGGGAAGAATCCACCAAGAAGACATTAACATCATAATTATATATGCACCAAACATAGGAGCACCCAAATATATAAAGAAACTCTTAGAGGACTTCAAGAAAGATATTGACAGCAACACAATCATAGTAGGGGATTTGAACACCCCACTATCAAAAATGGACAGATCGTCCAAACAAACTATCAACAATGATACTGCAGCATTAAACAACACCCTAGATGAAATGGACTTAACTAATATATATAGAGCCCTTCACCCCAAAGAGGCTAAATACACATTCTTTCAAATACACATGGAACATTTTCAAAGATAGACCACATGATAGAACACAAAACGAGCATCAATAAATTCAAGAATATTGAAATAATACCAAGCATTTTCTCTGACCACAAGGGAATGAAAATGGAAACCAACTCCAAAGGAAAAAACCCAAAACACCCAAAATCATGGAGACTGAATGGTATGCTATTAAACAACGAATGGGTCAAGAATGAAATTAGGGAAGAAATCAAAAAGTTTCTGGAAACAAATGAAAACGATCTCACAACAACCCAA